TAATGTATTCATGAGAAGGATGTCAACCATGCGATATTTGGGATCTTTTAAAAAACTTGAGATATATGATGTAATTGTTTTCATTATTTCGATAATTGAAGAAAAGTTAACATCTCGTAAATTAGAAATCAAAAGATAAAAAAAAGAGATATTATCAGAAGGCCTATTATCATCATTAGTAGTAATCGAGACTAATTGTTCTACGTAGTATTGGAGTTCTTCAATTTTACCTGAAAAAAATCTATTTTGTTCCTCTAGTGAATTTATCTCCATTTCATATTTTTTCAATTGTTCTTTCGTTAATTGTAGATCACTCTCAAGTAGATTTTTTTTTCGTTTCTCAGTTTCAAATTCTAATCCCGCTATTTGAAGGTCTTTTCTTAAAGCTGTAAGTTGTAAGTGATATTGGCTCATGGTCTCCCGTAAAAGTCTATTGGCATCCTTGTAGACATCATTTGAATTTATTAAACTGTTGATGAATTCATTAGAAAATTCAGTTTCTTTATAATATGAAGGTGTACTAGGAGTGCGAGGTGTGTATGGTGATTTGTCTGCCATTGAGATGAATATAAGATAAAATAAAAAGAGAAAGTGTTGTTTTTATAAAATATCAGAATGATCGGAATGCTCAAAGTTAGTCGTAGTGCCAGATGGGGACTTTCCGTCTTTAATTTTTTTGTAATTTTCAGTTAAATTTTTACGAATTTTTGATTTTTTTTGCTCGTAGAGAATGGTGTCATATGCTTTTGAAATAATGCAACAGATGATAATGAGGATGTAATCACTGTTGTGGTATTGGGTGTATGATATGAAGAAAAAACCAGCAATTATCCAGAGTATGTTGGTTGTCAGGTTGTGAAAGATGACGAAGAAGAGAACGAAAAAGGACATTTTATCAGTGTTTTGATTTTGTAAGTAGGACACGAGTGCAATGGCAAGAATCAGGGTGAAGAAATACTGGTGATTTGTCATTTTTGAGATGATTTACCATAAACGGGATCACGATTATTTTATACTTGTGTTGGATTCATAGATCTTATTCATTTTTGGATTTATTAAATAAATGTGGACAATGTCGTAAACAATACTATAAACAAAGTTTCCTTGTTGGAATAGTGTGATCTCATTAATTTGTGATTTTAAATTTCGAGAAAGAGCATTCATTCCAAATAAGGATTAGTATTTTAAATGGGATATGATGATTCGATGGTTCAGTTTACCTTTATTCCAATTTGAGATTGAATGACTTGTGTCTATTATCTGACGTGTTAATATTTTTTACCTGTATTCCAATTTGAGATTGAATGACTAGTGTCTATTATCTAATGTCAATTTTTTTACTTGTATTCTAATTCGAGATTGAATGACAGTTGTCCATTGTTTGGTATAATTTTCTTATTTAGATGCTACTTGAAATCAATTATATAAGAAGGTTGATTTGACCGAGGTAGGATAAAATGTCTTCAGATCAAGTTCAATCACATAATATTAGTACTTTCTTTTTGATACTTCTCTCTTTTTTTTTCCCACCTTTTGGAATAATCGCACTGAGGAGTTGTGATTGCCAATTGTGTATCAATATCTTGTTAACAGTGTGTGGTTATCTTCCAGGTAGTTATTATTTTCTTTATTATATTTTTATTTCTATTTTATTTCTTTTTATTTATAATAATTATCATAGGTCTTGTCCACGTGATTTACCTCATTACTCGTCATCCTAAATTACCCAACGATTCCACCCTGCTGGCATGAAAAAAATTATTTCCCTAATCATAATCATATTTTTGTTATTGTTCATTCCATCAGTTATATATCCACAATATTATATCATTGGGGCATCGATTGTTATTTTTATGTCATTAGCATATATAGAATATAAAAAATTAAATAACCCAAAACCATCTAAGAGTTCTTTTTTAAAAAAGTTTATACTAAAAGCTGAACCAAAGGTTGATAAGACAAATAAACAGATTGATACGAAAACTAATGATTTGGGGGAAGGTGACCTTAAGGATATTAAAACAAATAATCAGGAAGGTGGGGGAACTCTTTTTCAGAATATTAGATCAACCATTGGAATATCTCTGGGGAAAATTAAAAAATAAGTTTTGATGTTGGTAGTCATGATTTTAACTTTATTATTTCATTTGTATATTTTGGCGAATCATTGTTAAATTACTTAGATCCAGATGATGATGATGATATTGATTTACATCATATACATTAGATTATACATTATATTTATTTTATTTTTTTTATTTTATTTTTTTTTTGTTTATTTTTATTTTATTTTATATGTATTTACTTTAAGGTAATAAATAATTTTGAGTATAAAAATATGTTATATTCTTTTTAAATTGTGAGGATGAGATGAAAGATTTATCTACGAAAAGATTCAGATGTTTTAATTTCACTCTTTATGAACATGTGGATATATCATTCGTTAAACTTATGGAAGATAACTTTAACGATTCAAATAATTGTATTCAGTATATTATCTTTCAATTGGAGTTCAATTATCATGCTTCAGGTACAGGTGGGTGTGTACACATGCAGGGATTTGTGATCTTAAAGGATCAGATGAGAATTGGAAAATATAATTCAAAGGGTGGATTTGGATCTGGAATTAAAAATATATTTAAGTCAAATAGTGTTCATATTGATTTTGCAAATGGAACACCGGAGCAGTATAGGGATTACTGTCGTAAGAAATATAATCGATGTAAAAATCATGATAAATGTAAATGTGATTATTTTGATTTAGGAAAGATATGTGAAAAATGTGATGATAATTGTGTTAGAGATTTAGCTCGTGTCTGTGATGTAAATGAAGATGATATACCATTTGGACCATGGGAGTTTGGTGTTATAAGATGTGATGATCCAATTAAAGGTGATAGGCGTTCGAAGAGAAATGGTGAAATTGAATGTATGGCAAAAGCGATAGATAAGATTGTAGGAGGTGAGGATATCGATGATGTACTTGTGAAATATGCACCTATGATTTCATCTCGTGTTACAGTTAATATTGATAGAATTGCAAAGGCAGTGAGTAATGTAAACAACAGATTTGAAAAACGATGTTGGGATCCATGTAATATTTACATATTTGGGACACCTGGAACGGGGAAGACCTTTTGGACTAGTATTGTATTCCCAAATGCATATAAAAAATCAATGGATGATGATTGGAAGTGGTGGGAAAACTATAATAATGATCATATTATTGTTATTAATGAGATGGAACGAGGGTCAGCATCCTGGAAGAATTTGCTTAATATTCTCGATCGAGTTTCAATGAGAATTCAGGTTAAGTGATCATTACGTGAGTATGTTGGAATGTATCAAGTATTTATATCAAATACAGGATTACGGGAATTGTATGATTATGGTGAAGATCTCCCATATTATGAAAAATCAAACAGATTTAGATCAGTGAATAGGAAATTTTATCCGGCGATCGAGAGGAGATTTAATTTTATTATAGAGTATCACAAAATTAGAGATGATGGTGTACGTGTTTGTGATGTGAAATGTATATGTTGCAGAATTCAAAGAATTTTTCACAAGGGCTCAAGGGAAAAATTTCAAAAGTTAGAATTTGATATTGAATTCGATGGAAAGATAACTCAGGATTATGTATTGGAAATTGTACAAAAGTTAAATAGAAAAGGGAAGTTGTTACGATTGGATAATAAAATTATCTGGAGAGAAGATTTTAATAATGATGATAGATATATGGTTGAAAATGGGGACGAGTTGCATTTAGATTTCATTGTGTATCCTGAGATTATAGAGAAGCTTAATAGAAAGAATCATAATTATGAGATTGAAATTATTGAGGAGATATGTGAACTGAGGGATGATAATGGGATGCGAAAGAGGAGGTATGATTGTGATGATGAGAATTCAAAAAGATTAAAAACTTCTCAGAGTGATCAGAATATTCTTTGAATTTAGAATGAAATTGTAATTTTAAGAACACTAGTCATATTTGGTAATTTGAATTATTTACCTATTATATTTCCCATTAACCATGTTTGATAATTTTGATGTCTTCCCATGATATTTCTCATTAATCATGTTTGGTAATTTTGATGTCTTCCTGTGATATTTCTTATTAACCATGTTTGGTAATTTTGATATCTTTTCGTGATATTATTTGTTAACCATGTTTGGTAATTTTGATATCTTCTCACGATATTCCTCTTTAACCATGTTTGGTAATTTTGGATTTCTTATGGACCAATGTCTAGTAATTTTAAATTATTTTATTACGATATTTGATATATTATTTTCTGGTATTTAATAACTATATAAGGGAATTGTTTGGGATGGTTTCGATTCAGGATGTCAAAAAGAAAATTAAATTTATCTCGTGATAAGGTGAGTCGTTTTTCTATGAACTGAAACTTCCCTATCCTCATGAAACCAGAGGTCGATTTTTAACGGGTTATGCCAGACCAGGGTCTCTCTGTCTCCAATCACATAAATCGGCTGATTTGTGTGATTCCCGAGGCTATAGATGATACCTGGAATCATTTGAAACTGAGAACTGGCTGTGATATACATGAATCGATCATGTTGAGCAGATCGAAGGGAACGTGCGAGAAATTATGATTCACCAATTCTCCGAATTGATATGATTTATTTATTCTTAGAAAGATCGATATTACAGAAATATTTATGAATTATTCGATAGATGGAATTTGAAAGAGAGACTTATGAAAAAGTCAAAGGATGAATTCTTTGTAAAATGTAAAAAACGTAATTTTTATGTTAAGTGTGTTTATAATCAAAAAGGATCGATGAATACGAGTGTAGTAAATAAGATGATTACAAACACATTTAACTTTCGTGAAATTATTCTAATATTATGTATGGAGAACGAATTGAGTGAAAATACTCAAGACTTGATTGATAATGTGGCCAGACCCATATTTGTAACTTATAAAAGTAATTTAATTAAAAAGGTTCAGAGTTTTTTGTAAATAAAGGGATTTATAATTTTATATAAATAAACACTTAAATTTTGATCTCGTCAGATGTGCTTAGAATTTTAAATGATAATTTTAAAACTTGAATTTTCAGTAATATTTTCACTCTCGTAAATTAAACGATGGATGATACTAAAATAGTGCAAGACTTGATTTGCGAGGAGATATTATCATTTGAGAATAATCAGCTTGTTGCTTTAACTAAATATATTATGAAAAAAGTGTGGAATAATAAGGTTTTGAGGTATTCCATACCATTTCGTACATATATCGAAAAAACTTTAAATGGATTATATATAACATGTATGGAACTCTGCATGGCATTGTTCTATCTTGTTAAGATAGAACGAAATGTTAAGAGATTAAACATTTCAATTTATTGTATACATAAAATGTTTACCATCGCTCTTATATTAAGTAAGAAATACTTAAATGATTGTGGATGTCAAAATTTCAATTGGGTAAATGTTACAGGATTGAAATTACAAGAAATTAACATGTTTGAAAAAAACTTTTTAAATTTGATTGAATATGATTTATTTATAGATGAATATTTGTTCTGTTCTTTTTTATTTGATATTCAAGATATTACACTTCAACATCTCATTGATTCTTATTGATTATTGATATAATATACAGTATATTTCCGTAAATGTCAAAGAGCTCTGTGATATTTTGTTGATTAATATAGTTATTATGAATGTTATTTATTTTATACAATTTAGTAGGGTCTGATTGAATTGATTCATTATTAAAGTTGAGATTACTTTGAATTGATTCATTGGTATATTTTATCATATTAGTCTCTGTGAAATCAGTGTGTGTTGGTTTCTCTGTATTATGAATCAATCTATTAATAGATTCATCAATATAATTTTCATCATCAGTTACAAGTTGAATTGGGTTGTTGATATACTTTATCTCATCTTTAGATTGGATTGATTTATCTGTGTTATATATCATTTCGTTAATATTAGATTGAATAGATTCATCATCTGTAATATAAATCGCTTCACTGATATTATGTTGAGTAGATTCATTGGTATTATTTTCTTTATCATTAGTTTCGATATATTGAGTTGATTTATCTTCGATGTGAATTGATTCATTAGAGTTGCGTATATCTTCAACGGTTTCAGCAGGATCATGTTGAGAGGTTAATTCATTGTTAATGATTGATGATTCATCCTTAAAGATATTGGTGATGGAGATGAGGATGTGTTCATATTTTTCAATTTTTTTTTTTAATTTTGTATGTGATTTTAGTAATCTATGATAAGTTGTTCTTAAGTTTTTGAGAGTGGTTAACTTGCTATGATATTTGTCATAAGGAACAAATTTTTCATGTTTCTTTGCGAATGTGATTTTCTTAAACATGTTGTGTGTATCAAAATACTAAGTAGGTCTTGTCTCATACAGTATATATGTATTTGATGTTCTATCAAATAAGGTTTAGTATATATGTGATAAACCAATCGGAATTAGTTTATTAAATAACATTTTGTGTATACATGGTGAACCAATCGAAAACTCTTATGAATCATGGGAGTTTCCAATAGATCGTGGGAACCGATCAGAGTTTTAAAATATGATAAATTAATTTCATTGAACCAATAAGAGTGTATACGATTGGCTATAAGATTGCAAATGAGATATTTTGCTATAAAAGACATCTCGATTTTGATGGTTCAAATCACAGGAAATCAAGAATTCTATTAGACTTGCCAATTTTATATTATAAAAATCGATTACGGTGTGACTTTATCGAGATGAACAGAATATCTTATCACCAATTTGATCATGTAAGAAGAAAGGCAAATAATCATCTCTGCGATGAGCATATCATGAAGGAGAATCGGGTTTCAGCAGATCGAATTGATTTCGAGAAGAGTATCGTCCAACATCGTGTGCCTGATGGTAATAAGTACAAGTATGAGAGGATTCCGTATAATGATTTCTTTAAGTGCGATTGTGTAGATAAACATTTTGGATGTCGTCTTTATCAAAGAAGACGCTATACCAAATTGATCCAAGGAAGATTGATGAATATGAATTGTAAAAATTCAAAGATGATTTATAATAGATACTTACAATCATGTAAACCAGACTATGTTGTTTATTTTTGGATTAAATATTGATACATTTTAATCTTAAATGTATATTTTATTACAAAATTATGGAATGAGATTGGTATTTGAGATTATTGATATTTTCAATTTAGGATTATTAAATAGGACTAGTGTTTCTAGATTTTAAATTACCAAACATGGTTACTATTCTCAAGATTTAAAATTACCAAACATGGCTAGTGTTCTTAAGATTTAAAATTACCAAACAAGGCTAGTGTTCTCAAGATTTAAAATTACTAAACATGGTTGGTGTTCTCAAGATTTAAAATTATCAAACGTATCTAGTGTTCTTGAGATTTAAGTTACCAAGTGTGACTAGTACTCTTTAAAATTATCAAACGTGACTAATAAAGGTTCGAGTGAATTTTATATCATGATTAAATGATGAAATTTATATAAAAGGACATGGAACTTGAGAGGGTTTTGAATTTCAACTCAAACTCGATATGACAACTGAAATAAGTGAAGAATACATACGAGCTGTGATTAAAAACAGTCAATCTATTTACTCACTTCGAACTCCAGAAGATATACATCTGATCATGAATATAGTGGATTCTCTTCTTGTATCATCTCCACGTAAATTGATGGATGTTGGTATCTTTTTGAATGAGTATGACTCCATTTGAAAAGAATATAATCAAGAATTTAATTACCTTGAAGGTTGGAATTATCATCATGCTGATCATAAAGAATATATTCAATCAGATGTAGAAAGACTTCCGATGATAGAGGAATCTTCATTCGAATTAGAAACTTATGACGATCTTTATGAAATGGGTGATTGGTGTGATGTATGTGAGAATTGGGTCGAGGGTAGCGATGTATGTGAGGAGGGTGATGGAGATCACATTCATACGTTTTGCTCAAAGTGTGCACAGATTGTGAAATTTCATAAGAATGGGGTGCATATAAATGAGTGTATTTGCGATTTCGTGCCAGTAATCGATTATTTTAACTCAAGAGAAGAATTAAGACAGGTTTTTTGGTAAATAATATTCAAGGTTTGTGTATATTTTGTGAAAATAATTGCTCAGAGGAATTGTGTATGTGTGAGTTTACATGTGGATTGAAATATGTGATGGGATATGATAAATATGGAAAGGTTATATATGGAACTTGTGGTTGGCATTCTGATAATTTAAAAGATGTTGAATATGATTGTCGAGGTGGAGTTCATCGTGGATTCGATTGTATTGATCATTCAGAATGATATTAATTGTATATTTATATTTTAATAAATAACACCTCATCCAGTGCCTCGTGCACCAGGATGAGGTTTGAATGATGTAACTATGGGAGCTGACAAAAGAAAAGACAGTTCTAACTCTGATTCTGAATTGGAATCCAAGAGATTGAAGGTTGATGAAGAGAAGTCTGTGGAACTCAAACCTAATCCCTCTGGATCTAAGCAGAAGCAACCTGATTTTCGAGGTGAAGAAAAACCCAAACCATCAGGATCTAAAGAAAGGCAACCTAACTCTCGACTACCCCAAAAACAGAACAAGAATTCGGACAAGCTTGATGCGGAAATAATTAATAGGATATTATTATTGGGTGATGGTAATATGAAAAAAATCTTAGATTGCGAAAAATCTTATCAACTTTCTAATTTGATTGATGAAATTGCATATGATATCATCAAGACCGAAAGTGAGAATTGGGAAGAAAAAATGGCTGTGCTTCTATCGTATAACAAGATTAGACGTGAGATTTATTCAACTATCGAAAAGAATATTCCGGATAGAACTCCGGATGTTTGTACATGGTTGGTGACAGTTTGTCAAGGACCGGCAAGGGGAATGATGTTTGAGGATTTTAAGCTTCAAAAGTGGTTATCTAAAAATTCCAATGCAAATAACAATTGAATGTCACATGATAGTTTAAATTTTATTTGATATATAAATAAAGTAAACCTCACCCAGTGCCATGCACACCAGGGGAGGTGTTTTTTTCGTAACTTGAAAATGTCAGATCGAAAATCTTATGCTTTGTATCTCTTTTTCATTTTGGGTAGAGATGTGATTCTTAGAAGTTATGATGAATATTATCATTATGATTTTCATCAATATGATTCTAATTCATCACATGTCAGAATGTGGGATATGGTTTATGGATATCCATATATCCACGAGAACGATGAAGATGCAGTTGTGAGATTAACGAAAGATCAATTTGGCATCGAACTCAGTTTACGAGAGATCGAATATTTATTCGATGATGTGATGTTCAACAAATTTTATATTTGTGATATACAAATGTTTAATGTTGATGGATTGAAATATCAGAGAATTACATTTCAGAATTACTTGAAGTTTGAGAATAGTGTTGATTTCTATGTCCATTTGGCACTAGGGACAGATATATTTAAAAAATTAGATATGAGAGAGGAAGAAAGAATGAGGGTAGAAAGGTATACTCGTAGATTGAAACGAATGGGAATTGATCAAAATCTTATTCTCAGTCATAAGAATAGGGTTAGGAGATTGAGAC